TTTTTTTGTGGGACACCAGGCTTACATCTTGTTTTCTGCCGATGCTGCATATACTGATGTAATTTTCTTTACACACTCGATGTTTCTAGTAGTTGATTGAACACTCACAGCATGAATTCAAGCATTCCCAACAATTCAAAACCTGAGATAGCTCGCACTGGAACTGTGGCATTTTCCCTATTCAATTTTTTAGATGGAACGAGTTCGATATGGATGGCGACGATGGGCTCGATGTGACTACCATCGAAGCCGTTCACATACCGAAGCTCGATGATTATGTTGCGCCGCCTGAAATTGATGAAAGTGCCGAACCAGTTGCTGCATCAATCGAACAAATGCTGATGAGACCAACCGTATACGCTGAAGAAGACGGCATATCTTATTTGCAGGAAAGGTAGAGCTCGCTTTTTCAATTTTATCACGTTACCCTTGCTAACGGTAGCGATTTTAATCTTCCTCGGTATTTTAGGGCGCTTGAACAACCTGAACTTCGGCGTGATCTCCTGGTGATGGCAATCGACTGCATCTCCGCATTGCATGTGGCACGATTGTCTGCGAGTGGTCGCGAAGCTGCCGTTGTCGTTTACAATGCAGTCACAACACAAGCCAGCAAAATGCGTGACGTCATTTGCATGTTCAGTAATGTGAGTGAGTTAGAAACAGCGTTTCGAGCGATTCCAAATGCAGCCGAAAGGGTACAGGTTCTGAATCAACTTTTTTGGCTGTTCTGAATAAACGAGGTGATCTGAGAGTCGTCAGTTTGCGATCATTCAATTTAGAGTTAATGCTCCCTTAAATGTCTGAAGCGGATTCAGGCTTTTGGGTGAGTAGGATTGATTCTTGGAGATCTGGTAATTTTGTTGAGTTACTGATAAGGTTAAGTGCCATCAAGTATCTCTGCGATGCTGAGCGGTAGTCAAGTGCTGGGGTAGCGTTTCATTGCACTAAAGTTACAAAAATAAGCGGAAGCTCTCACATCTTAGTGGCTTAGTTCTTACTGATAAGTTCTTTATAGGAACGGGAAGAGGCTGTTTATTGGTTGCATCGTTATCTCATTGAAATGCTGCCTGTGGAGCTACTAGCGTCCTATCTATTTCTTTTGCGGCATACTAGACTGCTGGTAAGTTGTTTAAGAAACGATATCTTCACAGCTTTTCACGCACATTTTTGTACAATATTATCTATTGTTGGTAATTCTTGTGAAAGTCTTTTCAGAACTGTCAAGTGAAGTCAATAGTTCGAAGTACGCAGAACGACTCTAACCCATGGCCAGAGATCACTCACATGATCATAAAGTACATTGAGCTTAACGTCGTCGAACCAGACGCAGCTGAATTAGATCGTACAATCGCTGTGAGTTTTCCAAGTCAGCATTTTGACTGGATAGATTACTTCTGAGAGTTCCGTATCACTCCGTCGTTGGTACTCGTTAGCTGTCAAAAAAGTCAGTATGGGCTCCCAACAAACATGGATAATACTAGTGTTCCCTTTGTAATACTTGCCACCTCGTTGATTTCTTTGGCAGTTATTAAACCAACGAATCTCTCCCTGAGGTGATGCAAAAATTCCTTATGACCCCATCGCGACTGTTGCAGGTCCATGCTTTGCAAAATTGTTTGATATATGGCAGGGATTACAGGTCGCCTTCCTCCTGATAGAGTCACTTGGCAAAGCCCTTTTAGTTTTCGGGTTCCATCTTAATAATTCTTGTGGATTTACCCCATTAGTGCGATAGTTTGTTAGATTTATCTACGCTTTGAGTTATCCTCAATCTGCGTAGCGAAGTGATCTTCTAGTAAGCTTTGTATATCGTCGCCTTGTGCTTCAAGTCTTTAGTTTCGTTATGTCACGACTGCTGATTTGTTTTTTTTTTCAGTGTTGTAGTTTTCTGGTTCGCCTATCTTGTTGTTCTTCGCAGATTTTATTTCTCGACCCTCTGGTCGCTGTACAAATAAATGCGTAGAAAAATAAGTTCTTAGCCGTAGCACATTTGAATACTGAATGCAGAGTCAGGGGAATTACAACGACACAGATGGTACAGGTGGAATAGTTTCTTTTTCCTCTCTTCCGTTGTTGTTAGATTGCAGTGCTTTCGTGGAGCAAAAACGCTGTCATGCGTTTGGTAATATCTCAGTTGGCGAAGTAGCATTGGAATCGATTCGGAAAAGTTTCTCTAATGATCCGTCTGAGCCACGGAAAACGTGGAGAGTATACACGTAAATGCAGGGCGAACATGACTAACCTCACTGGCTAAATTTTTTCACATATTCATTTCGCACGAGATCGTGGAACATACACTGGAGATTTTTTCGTTCTCTAAACCTTTTATTTTCCTGCATTTTTCACGGTATGAAGTTTTAATGCATTTGTTGATTTCAGTCAGGTTCACTGCCAGACGTCATTTTCGTACTGGTCGCTCCCAACATCTCTGTTGGAGATTTTTCTGTGAGAGACCGACACTACGACCCTGTGTACAAGTGGGGCTTTTATCTGTCCGCATAAATCGAAAAGCAGCAAAACTTTTCGCATTGCAAGCAGATCCTTGTAAATAACAATTTTTTTAGATGGCTTCGTGAGATGGGTAATCCGGCCTCAACAGTAATTCGCCTGAAAATCGATGAATCATTCTCAACTGCCATAAGCGAAATGTTCTTCACAGGAGTGAACACGATATCGCGTGCGGTATGCAATTCCGTTGTTATCTAAGTTGTGTGATTATAAACCCGTCAACTTAGGTATTATTGGAATTGATTTTTCTGCTTTAGGTAACGAAACTCGTTCGAGAACATAAGCAGAAGCGGATTGTGCTAGTCGGTTGGGGTACCTCTTGCTGTTTCAATCATGTGGTGAGTACTGCTCTCTGAAATCTGCATTTTGCGGTTTTTCTTGTAAAATTATTTCATTTTCATGTTCATATTCAGGTGCTCAACACAGTTGCAGGCGTCTCTGCAGTAATTGACCTTGGTTTTCCTCTGCTTACCATAGACGGAATGCGTGGGGTTGGTATTTCTACAAGTGTCGAACGTAGATTGCGAGGCAAA